GGTCATTATTGCACTTCCTTTAATCTAATTCAGGGCAGCCAAGTATACCCACATACCAAAAAAGTCCCTGGATGTCCCAGATATTCTGGCCATGGAGATTGCAAAACACTCTCACTGTTTTAGTTCAGGTGAAACTAGATTCATTTTCTTTCTTCTCAAAGGGGAAAGAAAATAATATGAAACACAGATATCTTACCCAAGTCTATTCTGAGTACAGACTGACCTAAATGATCCATTGCTTAAAAATCCTATTTTTCCAGGTTCCACATCCCAGTGGGCCTGGCTAGCATTTAATTATTTTTAGGTGAATCTAAAAAGCAACATTACCAGGTATAGTAGGATGAGAAGGTAAGAGGGATGTGTGTGTGTGTGTGTGTGTGTGTGTGTGTGTGTGTGTGAGAGAGAGAGAGAGAGAGAGAGAGAGAGAGAGAGAGAGAGAGAGAGAGAATCTACTTGCCCACCTGTTTGTAGAAGAGGATCATGGTCTCTCCCCTGGCCCAGAGTTCTCCTTACAAGGCGATGCAGCCTAGCTCTCTATGCCCATGCCCATGCTGTACCTACACATGTCAATGGAGACAGACCTAGGAAAGCGTCTGACTCCTGCACCATGCCTAAACTCCTAAAGTTCACTGGGGAGAAGACACTGACCATCATAAAGGAGGTAATGCCGATCAGCAAGGAACCTTTCACTTACCAGTAAAGGACCCAGAAACCTGACTAGAGTTCAGAGGGTACTTAACTAAAAGCTAGTGCTTCTGAGTGGGCATGGTAGCCCACACCTGTAACTCCAGCAGTCAGGAGTGAAGGCTACAGGACCAGGATGAGTTCAAGGTCAGCCTGGGCTATGTGAATTATTGTCTAAAAATGAAACAAAAGGGCCTGGAGGGATGATTCAGAGGTTAAGAGCTAATGCAGCTCTTCCAGAGGACCTGAGTTCAGTTCCCAGGACCCAAATCAAGCAGTTCACTCACAGCTGACAGCAACTCCAACTCCAGTGGATCCATGCTCACATTCCCACACACAAATACACACGCACCCACATAATTAAACAGAAGAGATTTTTTTAAATGGAACAAAAATAAATAAACCAGGTTTGGTGGTTCAAGCCTTTAGTCACAACACACAGAAGGCAGAGGCAGACAAATCTCTGTAAAATAGAGGGGGTCTACACAACAAGTTCCAGGACAACCAGGACCACATAGTGAGTCCTTGTCTCAAAATTAATTAGCTGATTAATTATTAAGAAAAATAATGCTCCATGTACAATAGAAGTTTGATGAATGGATCATGGCGTGGCCATACAACGAATTGTTATATATGATGCTATAGTAACATGAAATAATGTCACAGTATACCATTTCATGGAAAACAGTTTACAAAATGGAATAAGGGATATGGTTCTATTTTGGTTAATTATTTTAAATAACCAACTTTGAACTTTTGGATTGTTGTTTCATTAATGGAACCTTTAATATGAGCAAAGCACTGAGCCAAGGACTCTGCATGAATTATTCTATATAAATGGGTCAATATTTAATCTTTACAGATGACAAAGTGGAAGTACTAAGCACTTAAGTCACTTAAGTGAGATCTCAGATATACATCTTGATGTGTGGACTCACAAATCCAAACTCAACAGTAATTTTATATTGATGACTACATTTGTATAGGGAAAAATACTCAAGAAAAATGGACACCAGGATGTTTGCAGTTAATAGTGATTACTTGTGAAAGGCGGGGTTATATGTAGCTTTTGTTTCTATTGTACTTTCCGGAGTCCTCTGAAAACTGACTGATTTACATGGATTATTTCCATAACCAGAAAGAAGGAAATAAAATTTTACTTATTTTATTTTCATGTGTATAGGTACTTGGTCTGCATGTATATCTGTTCACCATGTATGAACCATGGAGGCCAGAAGAGGGCACTGGATCCCCTGGAACTAGAGCTACAGATGGTTGTGAGCCTCCGTGTGAGTGATGGGAATCAAATCCGGGTCCTCTGGAAGAGCAGCCAGTGCTCTTAACCACTGAACCATCTCTCCAGACCCTGTAAACTTTTATTTAAAAAGAAGCAAGAAGCCATTGTTCACAGCCTATAGGAAGCAAACTGCTGAAGCATGAGGGAGTAACTTCATTATTACAGAGCATTTTCTAACATGAATAAGTAGTATCTTGCACATCTATTGTTTCAAACAGATGCAAATACCATCATAATCTATGCACACAGCAGGCTCAGTGTGTCATACATTATCCAACTGATATTTAAAACATAATTATTACCATATGGAGGTCCATGAAATTTTATAAACGAAAATGCTAGTGCAAGGGGTGGGATCTGGTACTAAATGTAGTAAAAATTTTCTGTAGTTTAAGCATCTTCTAAACAACCTGCCTTCTTTTTTTCCAGGGGCAGGAGGAAATAGAAAGGAATACTAAGACTTCGCACATTATTAAAAGGTTTAGCTAGGAGGCTGGCTTCCTGGAGAAAACAATTTACAAGGATGAGAAAGTGTAGGCAGGAAAGTGATGTAGGACATTCTCTTCCGGAAAGAAAGTGTGCCAGGAGTGAGGCCTCATCCTGAACCCCAGCTGGCATCACCACCTCAGCAGAGCAACTATTCAGCAATACCTAACACTTGCCCTGGGGCCAGGAGAGTTTCTAGACCTGGAGGTGGAGGAGGGCACTCTGGGATAAGGGGAAGCAAAGCATATGGAACTTTCTCAGCACCAAACTGCCTCAAAGGTCTGTCGGCACCTGCCTTCCTCTCTTGCTTTCTTCCCACTCCTCTTGTGGAATGTGTCCTTTGGTTTATCTATTACTGTGCATCTTATTATTCCCCACTGAAGTCCCCACAACAAACGCCTCCATAGGATTCCAGTGATCTCATTACACATAAGCAATCATCTGATCACACAAAATCAACAACGAACCACTCAAGATTGCACACTTGACATCAATGGCCTAGAACTTGCCAGACATTAAGAATAGTCACACTACTAGGTATGTAGTTCAATCATTGAGCATGTGCCCAGCATGCTCAAAGTCCTGAGTTCAGTCCCCAGCAAAACACACACACACACACACACACACACACCAGTTACACTGGCAAATAAAAGGTGGTCCATATCCCTTTAGATACATAGACTCTTCAGGCAGGAAAAGTGAAAACAACACACACTACAACGGAACATGCTGTAATGGGTATAAAGGGACAAAGTAAGAAAAGGGAGGCAGAGAGATGAATGAGGACTTTACCTCACTCCCTATCGGCCTGTAGTTGGGCACCACCTAGATTCCAACCCTTAGGAAAGAACAAAACTGGAGGAGAGACCTGTGTATTAAAACAGACTTGAGGGCTAGTGAGAGGGTGCAGTGGGCCAAAGTGCTTGCAGTACAAGCCTGATGACCTGAGCTTGATCCCAGGAGTCCACATGATGGAAGAGAGAACCGACTCCCACAAGTTGTCTTCTGACCTGAACACACACACACACACACACACACACACACACACACTCAAAATAAACAAATTTGAGGCTTATGCTTCTCACGCTTGTAACTCCAACATTCAGGAAGCAGTGGAGTTTCTGTGGCCAGCCTGGCCAACATAGAGACAAAATGAACTTGAACTCTCCAAAAGTGCTACCAACATCAAGAAAGGCCAGGGAAGACCAGGAAAGTGTGGAGATAAAAAGACAATGATTAGGTGGAATGTGGAATCTTAATGGGATCCTGGAACAGAAAATGGACACTAGTGGAAAAGCAGCCACAATTCAAATAAAACGTAGAGTCCAGTTAGAGATTCTCCAATCTAGAGTTCTTTAAGCAACTGAGAGGGCAAGTCGGGTGGAAAGTAGAGGGAGCTCACTGTACTGTTTTGTAACACCCTTAGAAACCTAAAAAGAAGACATCTTAAATTTTGAATGATCAACAATAAATCATGGTTATTAAGGGATTACATCTGGAGAGGGGACCCACAGAAAATCACGAAGAAGATGACACTAGGTTTTCAGATAATGCTTACTTGGAGAGGAGAAAGGATTGGGGCGAGAACAGGGCACACAGAGAGGGGCTGGGCTAAGTAGACAAGTTCTGTCTTCACCTAATGGTAGCTGCCAGGTGCTGCTTGGTAATAACTCGTCAAGGCATACATTCATTTAAGTGATTTCTGTATCTGGGTTTACTTTCCAGAGAGAGTAAGGGTGCAGCTAAAAGAGATGCCCCAGTATCCAAATATAACCTGTGACTCTTGTTTCCAACTAAGCAAAGAGACATTTGCCTATGCGTTGAATATTAGCTATTGTTGGAGAGTTGTCGCATTTGTTAAGGGTGGCAGTGGTAGTGGTGCTGTGGAAGAAAGCATCTATCGTTCTCTATCCCCATAATGAAGGATTTGGTGATGAAATGGCGTCACACGGTTGCTGTAAAATACTCCTCCCACGCAAGGAGACGGATGAAACACGTATGCCAAAATGTTAATAGTTGGGGTTTTTGTTGTTTTGTTTGTTTTTCTGGTGCTTGGGTTCAAACAATAGTTAACAATAAATATAAAGATGAAAATGGGTTCCAGTCTCTACTTTTGTGTATATGTAGGAAAAGTGTGAGGCCAGACAGCCTTGCATCACTCTGCTTGAGGGCAACAGAGACTCAATTCGAGGTGTCCCTCACCCCATCACCCCCAGAAGAGTCTTCCCACCAGTCACTTCCTGCAGTTTACACCCCCTGTGGTCTCTGAGCGGCCTGTGGGAGAGTTGCCCCTCTCTGGGTACCTGTCACTTAGACTTGACGCCAGTCACGCTCGCCTTTCTTCACCCTGATGTCCCCATAGTCCCAGGAAAGAGTCAAAGGGCAGTGGGTGGGGCTAGACCTGTGAGGGCAGTCGCCAGTGTTCCTGCAGTGGGTGGGGGGAGGGAGTTAGGGAAAAGAGGGGAGAGGGCAAGTGTCAGCTCTTCATAGTCTCATGCAGTCACTAGTAAGTGAGCCTGCAGAGGCTGGTGGCACCTTTCACTGGAACAGGCTCTGGGATCTTTACCTCCCTCAGGCTCCTGGGCATAATGCCTTGCTCTAAGAAGCCTGATTACTTACAGGGTTTGAGCCTTCTACAGTGGCCCTTGAGCTACCTTGCCGTCTGTGAGTACTGAACCAAGAGGGCACAGCAACTCAAGAAGGCAGGGCCAGACCTGGGTGACGGTCTAATGGTCCTGGGAAGTCTCATTCTCGGTCTTTTGATCGACTTAGATAGCATTAGAGAGTCGAGCCATGGAGTCTTGTACTCTGAATGGAAAGGAAGAGATGAAGCCCCAGGGCACAGTGAGAAAAGACGGGAGTGTGGCGCACAGTCACCATAGGACTGGGCCAGCTAATTCCTGCCGCTCCTTAACCTGCACTGCCCATAGAGGGCAGATGTGCTGACAGGGTTGCCTTGGCAGCACGGCCTAGCACAGAGGAACAGTTAGCGTTGGAGGCTTAGAGAAGTGGGGCCTGTGGAGGGTTTGCTTCTTTGTTTGTTCTCTTGAGTGCCCTTGTTTTGGTGATGGACTGGTGGGGTTTTATGAGACAAGTCCATACTCAGTGTGGTCTCTAACTCATTGCGCTCTCGTCTCAGCTTTTTGAGTGCTAGAATTACAGGTGCATGCCCACATGCCCAGCTACCTAGCCAGCATTTGAGCCAGAGAGTTTTCTGCTCTGAGAGCGGATTGGTAGTGTGGAGAGAGAGAAAGACAGTGGAAAGAGTGTCGACTGAGCAAGAGGACAAGAAGGGTGGGTAGGAAGCCGCATGGGGATGGAGAAGTGGGCTGGGAAGGGTCAAGGGAGAGTATGAGAACAATGGAAGGGAGACCCTAGCCCAGATTCTGGGATGGTGGCCAGGAAGCGAGAGAGAGGAGACAGGACGGGGGAAATGATAGCTGAATATGAGCAGTAGATAAAAAGCTTGTTCTGGGCACAGAGCCAAAGTACAGGGATGGTGACTAGCCAGGGAATCAGAGGAACAGGATGAGAGGTAGGAGGAGAACTGGGGATTGCATATGGTAGAGGACAGGAAAAATTTCTGAATGGTAAATGTCAGGACCTAGACTGGGCTGAAGCCCAAGATCGGAGTGTGGGCGTGGCCAAATTCTGCGGCCAGCACGAATTTGGTCCGGCCTACTCTCTCCTCAGTTTGGATCGGGCAGCCGTTGTTCCTTTGCTTGCTGTTCACACCCCTGTGGCTGCTACCAACACTTTACTTTGTCTGGTTGTTCCTGGACTGGAAGACTCCGAATCAAGGTAAGACTCATGAACCTAAGAGAAAGAATGTTCCACCATAGCCTAGAACCCTGCTTGCTTGCGGGAGGGTTCCACTCACCATGCCACAGACCCCTCTTCCAAGTTCTCAGAGCCACGAACGCCAGGCAGCTGGAACCATTCTGGGATTTCTTCCTTCCCTACCTCTGTAGCAGAGATGTGGTCCTCCATGTTGCTAGGGAACCCCTGGGGGAGTGAGAGGTATGGAGTAGCAATACTAATATCATCCTCTCTCCTGGCACTTTTGTCTCAGGTGGCAGGCGTTCAGCCTGGGTAAGGAACTGGTCTATCTGGACCCACATCAGGGACTATTTCCCTATTACAGTAAGTATCCCTTCTCCAGCGTCCTCTCAGCACTCAAAACACAGGCATTGTACCAGATAACTAAGAGTCTCCATTAAAAACTCAGCACCTTGGCAATGTGTCAGCTCTGGCTAGAGCACAGCATGGTCCTCTGTGCTTTGCTGGGATATTTTGGACACTCTTGGCATGACCTGTCATATGGCATCGGCTGAATGAAAGTATCATTCAAGTTAACAAACATGATTCAAAATCTTCCACTAACCACATGTTTGGGCTTCAGAGAAGTAACTACAATGTGATTCTTCACGAGCAAGAAGCTCACATCTGATGGGGAGAAAGGGTAAGTGCGTAATAGGTGCAAGACACGAAGTGATTCTGATGGAGGATAGAAAAGAAATGCATCACAGATGTGGCAGTATCTCAGCAAAGCTTTCAATGTTCACTGGAAGTTTCCTAGGCAGATACTGGGGGCAGGTGAAGGAGGATACAGCAAGGAAGAGGTCCAGAAATGGACTGCTCTGAGGCGCCTTTGGGTAATCTTTAAAGTAGATGACAAACAGTCAGTGTCTGGCTTTTTAAAATGTTTTTATTTTTATTTGTGTATGAGCATTTTGCTTGCATGTATGTATGCAAACAGCATGCATTCGGTGCCTGGGGAGACTAGAAGAGAACACCGGATCCCCTAGAACTGCACCTGCAGGTGGTTGTGAGCAATCACGTGGGTGCTGGGACCCCAAATCAGGTCCTGTGCAAGTGCAGCAAGGGCTAACTGCTGAGCCATCTCTCCAGCCCAAGTCCTGATGGTTTCGAGCAGAGAGAGCTTCCTGGCCATGGCATCCAACCTAACGGTGCACAAAGAAAATGATAAGGTGCCTAAACAGCTCATGGACACAGATGACTGACACTGCTTGAAGCCACAAGCAAGAGAAGAGGTTCACTAGTTCCAGTTGCCCTGGGTCCTATCTTGTCAGCCCAGGGCTGTGGAGACCAAGGTCCAGGCATCTGGAACCCCTGTGTGCTTTGTCTGTCAGGCAGCTGTTTCAGAGAGCACCCAAATTCCTGACATGTCTTCACCTTGTTGCTCCCTGTGAGCTCATTCCCCGCATCTATGCCATTTGTTTCCATGGTTACAGATCCAGAAGACAAAGGACCTGTCACCTTCCCAGAACTACGTCATGGGGGTCCATCCCCACGGTCTCCTGACCTTCGGCGCCTTCTGCAACTTCTGCACTGAGTCCACAGGCTTCTCGAAGACCTTCCCAGGCATCACCCCTCACTTGGCCACACTGTCCTGGTTCTTCAAGATCCCCTTTATTAGGGAGTACCTCATGGCCAAAGGTGCTTCTGCTCATACTCACTGGAGCTTCTGGTCCATTTCACTGTAGTTCTTTCATAAAATGCACCCCGTTAAGCCTCTTCACCCCCACTGCACCACTTCTTTGCCCCCACAATCATAGTGTGGAAGTCAAAGCATCCGTTCTGGAGTGAACCTTCCCAGGCTTCAATCTTGGCTGTGTTGTTTGCTCTAAGATCATAGACAGATTAGCTAACTTCTAGTGGACTGAGCTTCCTCGCCTGAAAAATAGCGCTGAAATGATTAAAGGAGAATTCTCTTAAGTGTAGTATCTTAAATAAGTAAAGCATTCAATGTAATGCCTGGTACAGAGTATGTGCTCAGTGAACAATAGATATTGCTATTAATGGGAAGAAAGGAGTAGAATCAGAATTGAAATTCAGAGAGTTTTATTTTTCCCACTGAAAATCGCCCTGCTGCAGCTTCCAGCCAGTGCTTCCTACGGACATTGCCTTCAAGGGAAACGTGTTCTCTCTGTCCACTGCCTTCTCTTCTCCACACTTCTGTCCCGTCTCCTTGAGCCTTTCCTCCTATGGGAACCCAGGAGCCAGTCTGTTCTCTCTGACATTTGCTCCTCTCCTGATGACTGTGTCCTCTCTGTGCCTTGATTCTCTCTAGGAGTGTGTTCTGTGGGCCAGCCGTCCCTTGACTACCTGCTGAGCCATGGCACTGGAAACCTCGTGGGTATTGTTGTGGGAGGAGTGGGAGAGGCCCTACAGAGTGTGCCTAACACCACCACCCTCATCCTCCAGAAGCGCAAAGGGTTTGTGCGTACGGCCCTCCGACACGGGTAGGTGTCCCCCACCAGGAGGGGCAGGTGTCCCTCTCTGCACATGACCCTGTAGGTTGTGACAAGACGACTACCATTTGAGTTTTGCCCCCCCAGGAACTTATGACTGAGTAGGAGAGATGGGTGTAGAATTGTTTTTAAAGCTTTAGGCCATCTGCTTCCTCTCAGTGAGTTGCACCAGTTCCCAGGAAGTCAGACCATGAACGCTGGTACAATGTCCAAGGCAGTTAGGCTCAGGCTAGCATGTCAATCATGTCCACATCTCTCTGTGACGAGTAGATAGAATCCACATTTGTCTGTTGATAATGAGTGCAAGGCACACTGCAGAACAATGAGTCTATGTGAAGAGCTGGAGTCTGGAGCCTGATTTGAAATCCTGGCTCCACACGGCTTGAAGCATAGTTCCGTGATAGAGCAACTGCCTAACATGCATGAGACTCTGGGTTCCATCCCAGCACCAGATAATAATAATAATAACTACCATCATCATCATCATCATCATCATCATCCCTGGCTGTATGACTTACCATGCATATTGGGACATCATTCTGAACCTTGGGATTTTCATCTTGCTAACATGGCTCCTGATCATTGTTCCTCCTGCATGGGGTGACTGGGCTTTAACTTATGATCCCCCTGCCTCAGCTTCAATTATAGATCTAAGCCACCAGGTCAAATGAGTTATTAATGAGTTCGCTCATATAAAATACCTACCACGTATCTTGCACACAATGGGTGATTGATTAATGATAGGTGCACTGTGTTGGGAAATGAAGGGGAGAAAAGCTGGTGTCTGGAGTAATAGGGAGCCTAGCAGTTCAGTAGTCTAGCTCACTGGACACAGGCAATTGTCCTATTGCACACTCAGGGGGGACATGAACCTATCTTCAAATGACCTCATCTGAGGGGCTATCAGTCTGGTGTATAATATACAGGGAGAGCTCTGAGCTGGAGCCAGGAGACCTGGGTTCTAGTCTAGGACCTGCTACTCTCTGGCCTGAAGGACCTTGCCTTTTCTGGACCTGGGCTCATGACCTCGCTCTTAGGAGGAACCAATCAGGTAACACATACCAAAGTGCTGTGTTCTCTTTTTCTCATTTAAAGGCTGTAAGGAGCCTGATAGTTTTTCCTAGAGCACTCACTGTTCATGGTGGGTTCTTGTGCCCTTTAAAAAAGAAATAATGTTCTCTGCTGGAATTCCATGACCCAAGGACAGAATACCCTATGCTTGGTCTCCTTCAGGGAAGGGCATTTCAAATATGTGCATCTATTCACATTACCAACATCTTGTGATTTCTCTAACAGAAACTTAGATGTTTCATCCTTGACACTCGCTGGAAGCTTTGTGCCATGTGGCTGAGTGTCTCTTCCAAGCTCTTCTTTTCTGTCTTTATCTCTGTGTCTTGCCCTTATAATCTAGGCTAGAGATAACACTCTCATTGGCTTAGAAATTTTCAAGACAAGACCTGCTAAATAGGGAACGCTGTGAAGTGCAAAAAGAATGTTCTAGGCCTCTAGTATTGTATCTTAATGGAAGAGTGCATGGCCTTGAACAAAAATCCTTCTAGCATGGTTCCCATGATAGCCTGTGTCTGAGAAATGAGGATTTTCCTACAGGGCTCATCTGGTCCCTACCTTCACATTTGGAGAAACTGAGGTATATGACCAGGTGCTGTTCCATGAGGACAGCTGGATGTACAAGTTCCAAAGCTGCTTCCGCCGGATCTTTGGTTTCTATTTCTGTATCTTCTATGGACAAGGCTTCCATCAAGACTCCTTGGGACTCCTACCATACCACAGACCCATTGTTACTGTAGGTGAGTGCTGCTCTCAGCCTCGGGGCCATCTACGCTCTTTCTCCCATCTATCTAGCTGCATCTTACCCTCTTCCACCAAATAAGAGGGCAACAGAGTGGGAGAAGCTGAGAGCTGACTGGAGTGGCCAGAGTATCTGGCCCTAGAAAAGAAAGGAGGGGAGAAAAAATGAGGATTCTGGCACTTTGACTCTTCTCTTTTTTCAATCTCTTTTGACAGTTGGGGAGCCTTTGCCCCTGCCCCGTGTTGAAAACCCAAGCCCAGAGATGGTGGACAAATACCATGCACTCTACATGGATGCCCTACACAAGCTGTTTGACCAGCATAAGGTCCAGAATGGCTGCTCGGACACCCAGAAGCTGCTTTTCGTGTGATGAAGAGACTCCACTTGAGATCACCAAAGCACTTGCTTTGGAGAGTCCTGGGGAAGGAAGATGAAGGAGGCCATGTGTATGGTCAGGGAGGGGACATTAAGAGCTCCTTTCTGACCATAATACTGCCCCTGGCCACTCCCTCACAGGAGTTGTCCCTGAGGAGTTCCACCCAAACATTCTTCAGAGGGGAGCATCCTGAAGCCGCTCTAGTCTCAGGCCCTTTCTGAACCTGAAATCTTAAATCCTGAAGGACTCAAATGATGACCAGGCCGTCACCACTCCAATTTTTAAACATCTTAATAAAAAATTTAAATTAATGTGTACTTTGCATACCATAAATTTAGTCAGTTTGAAGTGCAAAGTCCAGCAATGTTCGGTATTTTCAAAGAGCTGTACAATGACCACTACAAGCTCCTTTGGGAGTTCTTTCAAGCACCGCTAGAAACCCGACACACATCGGCAGTCACTGCCCACAGCCTCAGCGCCTGGCAACCACTGATTTACCTTCCTTGTCTCTAAGGCTTTGCCAGTGTGCACATTTCATAGAAATGGAACAAAATAGCCCATGTTATTTCATGATTGGCTTCTTTCTTTCAGTATGTTTTCAAGGTTCCTCTATATTATAATATGTAGCAGTGTTCCATTCGTTGTGGCTGAAAAAGAACCTATTGTGGATAAACAGCATTTTGTTGATGCAGTCTTTACTGGAAGGACATCTATTGTTTCCCCCACTATTCAGCTACTATGAATAGTGCTATTACAAATATTCATGTACAATTTTTAAAATTATCTTCTGTCCTCAAATACAAAGGCTTACTTCCACGCCACTGCCAAGCATGATTTTTAGATAGATAGAAGGTATCTTACTTGAGGTCAGTTCTCAGGTGGCATAAGCATTTCACATTTATTTTCCTTGAAAGGATCCCTGGCTATCTTAATCCTTACAAAATTCTATCTATAGGGTTTTTTCCCCTAAAAGCTATACTCTGAATATTTTCTTTTTCTTGGTTTTGATTATTTGTTTGAAATGGTATCTTGTGTAGCCCAGGCTGCCCTCAAACTTTTAAGGTATCAGAGGATGACCTTGAACTTCTTATCCTCTTGCCTCTATCTCCTAAGTGCTGGGATTACATGAGTGTGCCACCATGCCTGGTTTATGAGGTGCTGGGAATGGAACCCAGGGCCTAGAACATGCTCAGTGAATACATGGGAACATGGACATCTGTGTTTCATGCTACCATCTCAAGCTCCTGAATTCTGTAAAGGAGTAAATAAAAACAGAGATGTCTCTTACTTTAGAAAATAAGAGACATTTTGAGGAGATGCAGAGATAGCTCAGTGGTTAAGAGCACATATTGTTCTTGCAGAGAAAGGGACCCAAATTTAGTTCCCATCACCCACATTGGGCAATTCTACAACCATCGGTAACTCCAGTTCCAGGGAATCAAACGCCCTCTTCTGGCCTCCTCAGGAACTTCACTCACAAACACAAAGGCACATACATATATATGCCTTCAATCCCAGCACTGGGGAGGCAGAGGCAGGCGGATCTCTGTGAGTCCAAGGCCAGCCTGGTCTACAGAGCAAGTTCCGAGACAGGCTCCAAAGCTACACAGAGAAACCCTATCTCAAAAAATAAATAAATAAATAAATAAATAAATAAATAAATAAATAAATAAATAAATAAATAGATAGATAGATAGGTAGATAGGTAGATAGATAGAATAAAAATAAGACACATTTTAAAATTCACCAAATAAAACAAATGAACTATGAACCAAAGGCTGAGGGGCCCCCAACTGGATCAGGCCCTCTGAATAGGTGAGACAGTTGATTGGCTTGATCTGTTTGGGAGGCATCTAGGCAGTGGTACCGGGTCCTGTGCTCATTGCATGAATTGGCTGTTTGAAACCTGGGGCTTATGCAGGGATGCTTGACTCAGTCTGGGAGGAGGGGACTGGGCCTGCCTGGACTGAGTCTACCAGGTTGATCTCAGTCCTCGGGGGAGGCTTTGCCCTGGAGGAGGTGGGAATGAGGAGTGGGCTGGGGGGAAGGGGAGGGGGGCAGGAGGGGGGAGAACAAGGGAATCCAAGGCTGATATGTAGAACTGAATGGTATTGTAAAATAAAATAAAGGAAAAAAAGAAATAACACATATGTATCTATATACATAAATAAATTATGTATTCAAGCAATAAATAAATAAATAAATAAATAATTAAAATTCACCAAATAACCCAAAGTTCAAGGCCCATTTAGACTTCAATTCTTTTTGCCTTTGCTTAACTCTTAACTGTTAGGCCTTCTCCTATTTTACATAATTTTGGGTCTATTTCTAACCCAAATTTCCCTCATACTCAATAGCCAAATGGATCCAATTTACCAATCTCCAACAAACATCTTTCTCTCATCCCTGTCCCAGGCAAATCATCTTCTTCCTCCCAATTCCCATTGTATCCCAAAGTCATTTCAAATTTATTACCTTTTGTTAATCCAACAAGCCCCTCCTCTCCTCTACTACCAAAATCCAGTCAAAGGCCTTACCAAAATTCATTGACTATTGTTATTCCTTCTAGTAAAATCTCCTCTAATCACCCCTTCCATCAGACTACCTTGCTGAATCTTAAATCTGATTAGTCACCCTCTACTTAAAATCATTTCTTGCTTCTACAATGGCCCTACCAATATATTCTAACTTATGCTCCGAGTACCACTAATGTGCTTAGATGCTGATAATTACTACATAGAAGAGAATAGTAAAAATGAATGTGGGGATCGCTTCTCGGCCTTTTGGCTAAGATCAAGTGGAGTGTGGGAGGTGCTAGAGTAGATAGATGTACTTACTGAAGTGTTTTTAAAGTCTTTAGACTTTAGTTCTAAAATTTAGAACGTTAATGGACATTGTAATTTTCTTTTAAAAGATGTTTTATTAATTTGTTGAGAATTTCATGCATTGTGTTTTGCTCATATTCATCCCTTCCCCCATATCCTCCAAGATCTACCCCCCATTCCATACCCACCGATTTTGTATCCTCATTGCTTTAAACCATCAACTCCCGTAAGCACTTCCTATATATTCTTGGGTGTGTAGCCATCCATTGGAGCATGTTAAACCTACCAGGCACCATGCCCTTAAAGAAAGACAGCTCTTCTTTTCTTGACAGATGTCAATTATCAATAGCTCCTCAGCTAGAGGTGGGACTTCATGCCCACCTCCCACCTCCATGCTGGGGTTTTGTCTGGCTTAAGTGTGTGCAGGTCTTATGCATGCCGTCAGAATTACTGTGAGTTTATATGTGTAACTCCCTTGTGTACAAAATCGCCGATTCCCTGTAGATATCCACCCTCCACGCCTCTTGCAATTTCTGCCTCCTCTTCCACAATGATCTCTGAACCTTAGGGTGTAGTGGGGGCCTGCATATACATGGCCCATTTAGAGCTGAGTACTCTGGAGTCTCTTACTCTCTGAATCTTGCCCAGTTGTGGGTCTCTATGTTAATCACCATCTACTGCAAAAAGAAGCTTCTCTGATGAGGGGTGAGAGATACATGCACTAAAGTGGCATCCAGAGGGCAGGTGCATGACACCCAGTCTTCAGGCAGATCATGGGGGCAGGTGGAGTTGGAAGAGCGAGTCTATACACTGTGATTTTCCAAAAGGGAGTATTCAGCATCCCATAAACCTATCTGGAGATAGAACCCTTATTTCAAACAATAGCTATTAAAATTTCATGGGACATTTAGAGTTTCTCTAAGTATCATGCTGACCTACAGGATGAGGTTCAAACTCCTCAACATGGCACAAAAGGCTGCTAGCAATACGAAATTGCTGATTTGCTTTGGAATCCTATCAGATTGGGGAAAATGTTTTTGTAAAAGTAGATTTACAGAATAAATCAAAACATCATAGAAAGTGTTTGAATTCCTGGCCACTCCCCTAGCTACATGACTGCACATGCGCTGTCCAGTAGCCAGGCAAGATGCTTAGTGACTTCGAGGCCTTTCATCCTATGTAATCCGTGTGCTGTGTGGTCACTAATTTGTGTGCAGTATCATCCCATAATCTATGCGCATGCGTGGCATAACTATGTAAGCCCATATGCGCATGTGCAGGGGAATCCATAAAAAGCCGGTCACAGACTTCTCTCTCCTCTCTCTCTTTCCCTGCACGACCATTTCTCACAGGCCTAAGCACTCCCTTCTGTTCCCTTCCCCTAATAAACTCTTAGTGCTTTGTTGTGCCTCGTGGCTTTTCTCGCTCAGTAAACAGCCCGGCTTAATGAATAACACAATGCTGCATAATAACTAACAGGAAGTGATCAAAATGTAATTAAATCAAAGGATAATTGGGTTTGAAGTGTACTCACCTGTTTGCGTTGGAAGTAATAATGAAAATAGAATTTTTCAGAAAATTGCCAAGGTCACAACATGAAAATATATATATTATCTATATTTAATGATCGTAGATCCCTGGAAGAGTAAAAAAACAAATGGGTGGAAGTTTAGTCCTTGACCTTCTTTTTGACATATGCATGTTATCCCTCAATTTCCCTGTATCTTTTTCCTCATTTGCACCCAATCCCTGACAATATACTATCCATCTCCATTTCCATATCCTTGTGTCTCTCAATATTTTTGGGATACATTAATACCTTTTCTAGAACCATGAATAAGTAAATGGATAAGTAAGTAAATCTTTTATGAATAAACTCCAACTTTACTTCATTTAAAAAAACAGAAAGTCAGCCGGGCGGCGGTGGCGCACGCCTTTAATCCCAGCACTCGGGAGGCAGAGGCAGGTGGATCTCTGTAAGTTCAAGGCCAGCCTGGGCTACAGAGTGAGTTCCAGGAAAAGGTGCAAAGCTACACAGAGAAACCCTGTCTCGAAAAACAAAAAAACAAAACAAACAAACAAAAACCCAGAAAGTCATAGTGGCTCAGGCTCATAATCTTAAGCACTTGAAAGTCTGAGACAGGGGAACAAAAGTTCAAAGCCTTTCAGAGCTACAGAATAAATTCAAGATGAACCTGGGCAACTTTTTGTCTCCAAACAAAAAGTAAATGAGAGCTGGAGGATATACCTCGGTGGTAGAGTGGTTGCCAAGCATGAGTGAGAATATACATTTCATTTCTAGTATACAAAAACAGATACAGAAGAGTAAGAACATATCAAAGGGACCTAGAAGCAAAGCGAACAGTCCCTCTATGGTAAAACCTGTGCCAATGTGAGCCACATGATAAAT